GTTCATTGAAAAGAATCAGTTCGTTCTTGAATCAGACACCGCTTCTGCGTTTCAGAGTATGTGATTTATTATAAAGAGTAACGATATGTTTTATGAAATGTAGTGAAGTAAAAGTTACTCAAAATAAAACTACTCTAGTAAAGTACAGATACTTGAAAAATGTACTTAAGTACAGTAACGAAGTAAAACGACTTCGTTACTGTCCACCACTGGCAATTGCTATACAAATGTTTTTATCATTTTGATGCATTGACCCTGAAACATTCCAACTACACAATTATCTTACATAAATTGATTAAAATTTTTATTTACCTAGTTTATAAAATGTGTCCTTATTATTTGCTGCTTTAACTATATTATTGCACAGCTTTTACATTTTATCCTACTGCAACAAAATTAAAACTGCTTGAAGTTTATCATCTTATTGTTCTTCAGCTTCATTAATGAAGGATGAAGAATAAACACCAACCTGTTTGTTCTTCAGTGTGTTTCATTCTGCAGGGTTCTGGATCTCTCATGTTCTCTCTGTCCTTCAATAAACTCTGTCTCTGCAGATTTCACTTCTTCCAGATGCTTTGATGCTCGTCTTCACTTGTAGACTGATGGGAATATTCCAGCATTTATTGCTGAACTGCAGTGGGAGGAGCTTCACTGAAGGTGTGATTGATGTGGGAGGAGCTTCACTGAAGGTGTGATTGATGTGGGAGGAGCTTCACTGAAGGTGTGATTGTTGAGGGAGGAGCTTCACTGAAGGTGCGGTTGTTGTGGGAGGAGCTTCACTGAAGGTGTGATTGTTGTGGGAGGAGCTTCACTGAAGGTGTGATTGTTGTGGGAGGAGCTTCACTGAAGGTGTGATTGTTGTGGGAGGAGCTTCACTGAAGGTGTGATTGTTGTGGGAGGAGCTTCACTGAATTTTTCTGTGTGGTTGAGCATATCTGCCAAAATCAACAATAAATCAGTTTGTAAATCATTATATAACTATATAAAAGTAACAGTGTCAACACAAAGATCAATGCACATCAATGTTAAACACTCATTCAGTAACTCTGAATTCACATATGTGGTCATTCACACATTCTATGCATTTCTGTCGTTCTACTGTTAACATTTCTTTTGCGAGCATTCACATAGAATTGACATGCTTCTTGTAAATGATATTGTTTGTTGTATTTTCCTGTCAAAATAAGTTCATTTGGAATTATTATTCCTTTAAGAACAAGCAGAAGGTTTGAATTACGCACACGGTGTGAATTAAAAACAAAACAAAACAGCATGCCGGCATACAAGCGGCTGATCAATGTAGACAACATCGTGAATTAAGAGCCGATCCCAGATAACTGCATACACTCCTGACTAGAGCTGCATGATTAATCATTAAAAGATTGCAATCTCGACTCAAACATCCATGCGATCGTATTTCTAAATGACATTTGCCAAATGCCTTTGTATATTAAATCATTGAAAAAGTCTTACCAGAACATTCAAATCTGCGTTCACACTGCCGCTGACACAGAGTGACTAGTTAACATGTTTAGGTCTTTCAATTATTTCAGTCTTATAATCATTCATATTACCACAGAAATACTGGGAAGAAAGTTTATTGTTCGGATATAAACATTGATGTCTATGATAGCGATCAAAATAGAGCAAATTGGAAGTAACTGGCACTTCAAATAATGTTTGCACGCATGCGCTTTGTTCTGCTCGTAAAAATGGCGCGACTATTTCTGACGTAGAACACACGTGACGTAGAGCGCACAAGAATTATTCTCATAGTTTCACAAAATTACGGTTGAACCCCTGATGTCATATGGACTATTTTAACGATGTCCTTACAACGTTTCTGGACCTTGAATGTGGAAGGACCCTTGCTATCTATGGAGGGTCAGAGAGCTTTCATCAAACATCTTAATTTGTGTTCCGAAGATGAACGAAGGTCTTACGGGTTTGGAACGACATGAGGGAGAGAAATTAATCACAGAATTTTCATTTTTGGGTGAAAGACCTTTTAATACCACCTTTAATACCAAATTTAAGACCTAAAACTGTGATGGAAATACAGTAGGCAGGGCTCTACGCTTACTTTTACGGAGTGTCTATTTACACTAAGTACAAACAGCCCACCTTGTTAGCAGAGGCTATTGTCATTACAAAAGAGGGTTGACAGTCGTCAGCTCCAGTGGCGCAGATGGTTAGATGTGTGTTGTTCTTATTTTGACGCGATCGACCCGGGTTCGAATCCACCGTTTGGCGAACTTTTTTTCTGCCTTTTCAAATTTCAGTAAATTTTTTGTAACATCTCCTAAAAAAATTGCAGTAGCCAAGGCGAGCTGACTGATGTTATCAAGTACGCTGCTGTTTGCAGAATTAGTCCGAAATTTGCGTACTTAGTATTGAAATGTGCGCAGACCTACGTCACCAGACTATTTGCCTATTCTTCTCGTTACTTTAGACCGCGATGGAAACACAGACAGCAACAGGTCTGGGGGGAAAAAAAGTTCCTGGTACAATTGTTTCGGGTAATTTCGATGGAAACGCGGCTTTAGCTGGCATCCATTTAGCCTAATAATTTTAATTAAAATAAAAATGTACACTCAATAACTTATTGCATACTGATTGCAATGATTAGCACAGATATATTCACTCGCCAAACACTCTCTGACTGAGCGCTTCAGAGTTCTCTCTCAGTCAAGTGATCTGTGCTATTTTTCAGTTCATCTCTATGGATGCGCAGCGCACCTGTATTTCGCATACCGTAAACTTTAGTGTGAAGGCGCACGACTCGCCGTCACTTTGCTTTTTTCTCACATGCAAAGAGAGAGACAGAGCGAGAGAGTCTTACATACCATGCAGAATTGACGCGCTATATGTAAACGATATTATTTGATGTATTTTCCTGTCCAAATAACAGAGTTCCTTTGGAGTTCTTCAGCTTTTAAGAACTGCCGGTTTCTCCGGTAGTGGGCGGAACTAATGCGCAAACGACAATCTCATTGGCTGGCGCTCACCTATTATCGTCCCTGATTTGAATTCGGCAAATCAATTCTAGCGAATGCACACAACCGGATTAATATTCATGAATCCAGCAGCTCATTAATCCTTATGTTTTTCCCCCCATTTTTTTACAGAAACACAGAATGACCAAAAAAGCACCACCACCAGTCCTAAGTTTAGTTAAAATGACTAATATAAAATGACACTGTGTCATTTTACAAACATTATATATGTTTGTAAAATAAATATAAAAAAATAAAAATATAATATACATATCCACATACATATATATATATATATATATACATATATTAGTGCTGGGCGGTATACCGGTTCATACCAAATACTGGTGTTTATTTTTATGATGATATTAATTTTTTAAATACCGCAATATGTCGCTTAAACAACGTTCGGAGCGCGACAACCGCAGCCGACTCGTCAATAAATGAGTACAAAACAGCGTTTCCTAGCACCCTGTCGCTTACTGATTGTTTGGAATTATAAATATGAGCGTAGTTCTTCTGTTAATATCACATGCACTTTTTTGTTTGTTTTTTTTAGTTTGTTACTCAGACGCAGGCAGTGCGCTGCATGAGACAAAAAAGTAATATAGCCAAAACAACCGCATAGCCGCTCTTTAGTGTAGATGCATGTTGATTTTATCAGACGATGCCGCGATTATAAATGAGAGTGACTCCTGGTTAACATGTATTAAAAGGGGTCGTGTTTAGTCACTATTTAGTGTGGTATTTTTTGACAATACTCACTCCTCATGACAGTAAAATAGGGCATTCTAAGTCAATATACTGCAGTATTTCCTCTCAATCAGTAGAAAATATGGTTAACACCCGGTCATGCAAGGAAAAAAAATACCGTCATGTACCGTGAAACCGGTATAATTTTGAAAAATACCATGATATAAATTTTTGCTCATACCGCCCAACACTAATATATACACACTTAAAATGGCTCATAAGCTCAATATGAAGTATCCGTCCTTAATTTTTTTTACCATGTAGGCTAAAGTAACTATAACAAATCTGATCTGCCAAAGATAAATGTTAAAACGTTAGAAATAAAATCACAGCAGCACTAGGGGAGCGCGGGGCACAAGGTAACGCGGGGTTAGTTGTTACACACGTGGTTTGAATATTTCCACATATGCTAGCATAACAAAATATATGGTATTTACTAGTTGCCATAACAACACTATACAGAGAAAAAACTGTGCCAAAATTCTTTTTTTTTTTTTAAATATCACTGAACATTTATTTTACCATAGTAAAAGCAAATTTCTGGCTTTCATCTCAGTTTTTAGTATTCATTTCAAATTAGCCAAATCTGCTATTATTTTAATCTCCAATCTGTTATTTATCAGTTTAGATAGCTTTTTTTTATGCTTTGCTAACTAGCAGAAGACAGCAATCGAGTGGCACAGATGTTACAATGTTCCCCACTATTATTAAACCATGCTATTATATGACATTATCAATGTAATTTACACTATTTACTTTTAATGAGAAACCACGATAAACAGGTGAATAAAGACTGACAGTCACGGTTTAATTGTTCAGCAGT